ATGGAACATTCCCATGTCATAAAGCAAGAAAGCAAACCACCAGGGTTAAGGCTGTGTTGCTCACAAACATCCACTTAAGCGTGGTACATTCATCGGAAACTACCACCATTTTGGAATCATCCTATGCTAAATACAAACATCTTCCATACATTCTCCAAACACAGACCTTGAAAATCATTGCTCACAGTTCATCTTCAACAGCATTTCCAATGGACATTAACATTTTGTTTCTTACTGTCATCCATTAAAAAGAAAATTAAAAAATTCATTTCCTCACACAACAAGCATAACTTAATGGGCACTTGTTTTCATTATGGCAACACTAGATCCTTAGTCATCAAAGAAAAAAATCAGCTGTAAAGTTGAAAGCCCTGTAATGTTTACAAAGGACAACAACAATAGACAGTATTTTTCTTGCTACTTTGCTGAAACTTTAAATCAGTGTAAAAACTTTACTAGTATTTATCAGTTTTCCTTTTTTACAGTTTAAAAAAATCATTCAATGTACAGTTTGCGAGTTTATTGAAAAATGAACTGACAACATTTTTAGGCTTATTTTTAGCAAGTGTTTACCTTAATTAAACACATGTACTTGCACTGCTCATGATGCATTTACTACTTATTACTCTACCTTTGGGCACCACTTGACAGAAGATGGACACTGCAAGCATAAACCAGAATCACCAAAAAGACACCACGGGGCATCCTTTTACTACCAATCCATTTTAAGTCTGTAGTGCAGATGTGTCCTAGGCTGTGGGTTTGGCAGTGTAAGTGGGGATGGGTCATGCCTTAGATCAGGGATTGGGAATGTGTGGCCTTTCATATGTTGCAATACAGATTCCATCATCTCTGATCACTGGCCCATGGGACTGATCGAAGTTAAGAGTCCAACAATATCAGCAGAGCCACAGGTGCCTTATCCCTGCCTTTGTAAACTCTGTAATTCTGGCAAATGTTTGCCCGGCCCCTCAAAAATGACTTTAAAAAAAGAAGTTACATTTATACAATGGTTATTTTTCATTTCTTCCATCAGCTAACCAGGTAAAGGGCAACAATTGTGAACAACTGGAAATTGGTGAGCAAGAAACATTTTGATTATTGCTAGCTAATTTTCAAACGCTCATTTTGCCCCCTGCTCGGTTAGCTGATGTTGCTAAGCTTTCAAAATATCATCTGGCAAAAACATGAAATTCAACAATGCTCCAGACTAGCACCAGTTTGTAAATAGTGTGCATCACCAACAGATTATAAATCTTAACAATTCATCAAGGAAGAACCAGGATCTTAAAAAAAAAAAGTTAGATATTGAGGGAAAGGCCACATTACCCTTAACATATGTTAGCTTTGTTGTAAAGGAAATAAGCAATAATTAAAATTTGAGTTGGTAGTACATACAACATTACTAAGGTATTATTTACTAGGATTAAGAAACAATTACTTTAGGAAAGCATTTGAAGGACAATGTCCGCATGCATGAAATGGTCTCCAAGTGTGAATTTATAACAATTTAAGTTTGGATGCTTCCCTAATACAATTCACTGGGAAGGGCTCCTACAAAAATTCCATTGAGATGTGAGCACAGATCTTCACTTGAAGTGAGAAGGTATCATGATGGACAGTTGTGCTCCTAGATCCAGTTTAAGAAATTGCCGAACTAAGAACAGTAACATTCAAGTGAATATTTCCTTTTGTCACAAGAACATGTTTATAAAAGCATAAGCATCTAAAATTTTAAGCCAGATTGGTTTGACAATATGTTGTGAATTACGTCTATAGTAATAACATACTTAACAGTTTGTGAGTTCCTTTATATTAAAAGTTCAATAACAATTACGAGACAACTTAAGGTTTTTTTTGTTTTGTTTTTGCTTGCATGGCTTAATAAATACATATAAAATTGTAAATAGGATATCCCTTTTCACAAAGAATTTAAATAGATTTCAAGGTGGTTCAGTGTCTGAGACTAATAGCATGCAGTGTCTGTCTATTGCCTTTGCAGACACTCAAAAATATTAATCCAGGAACCATAAATTTAGATTCTTAGCATTACTCATTTAAGATGTTTATTTTATAACAGTAAGTGAGAAGGAGTAAAAGCCTTTAAACAGTGCTTATCTATTCCTTAGTTTAAAACAACCAACTTTTTAGCTACTGTATTGTGGGCAAAGTAGGTAATAATCTTCATTTTTGCAAGTCTTCTCATTGTACTCATTATTTAAATGTTTTAAGGCTCTACCCACCCCAAAAGTGCAGGCTGGCTGATATTAAGATTCCACCCTGATAGGTCAAACTAAAGATCAAGAAGAAAAACGTAAAATTTGGGATTCACGAACCACACCATCAGGAATCTTCTTGCGTAAGGCCGGAGGCAATTCGTGACCCCACACTGCTGTCAAATGTATTTTTCTTCTCACTTGATGTAACAACGTAGGCAAAAGTGTATTTGATGGAAATAACTTAAGCAAAAGGAGAAAACACATTGCAAGCACTGAGGTGAATCTGATAATTATAAGTTGCAAGACTTGTATGTGGGAAGGGGAAGAGAGGGAAATAGACCCTTTCAGAATATTCTCTCATACACAGGGTTATGCACATTCCTGTTTGTTATCACCTACATTTATGCTCCTTGTACATTTATGCTCCTTGTTCTTTTGTTCCCCACACTACATGCGCATATGAGGGAGGAAGTCATGAACAGTTTTTGAAATCCCTCTGTAGAACACTCTCGCACTCATAAGGATCTTCCAAGACTTGTTCAATTAATTCTGGTGCTCAGTCTTTCTGGAATTCAAACAAATGCACACCTGCTTTGGTAACCCTTGGTTTTACCCAAAATGAAACAAACAAAAAAAACTGTCGACCACCAAACTCTCCTTTGGTTGCACAAGGCAGGCCCTCAGATGTGGTACATGTGTGGCTTATTATCCTATGTGAAAATGGGCAATTGGAACAAAGCTGATTGCTTTCATAAACCATAGCAAGAAGCTGTCTGAAACACGGGTGTCAGGTGTGAAGCTAGCGAGGTTGACATAATGGCAATTAACTTTCTAATGAATCAGTACAGCGCTAATAGGAAACTGGTTTTATGAAGTGCCAGCAGTAATCTATCCCTATTGGAATATATTCCCATAGCTTTTTAGAAGTTTCAGGTTTCCGGGAAAATCCCTACAACACACACTGAGCAGTAGGAAAATTGATAAACATGTACATCAATCCCACAGAGGGCAAGAAGTTTGCATTGATTTTTGTAGTGCTAGAAGTTAAGCTGTGTTAGGTCTGACAGGAAGGGCTAACCATATCTCTTTACTAAAAGAAACTACTCATTACAGTTACTAAGACTGAAGAATGTTACAAGTGTAATACTTACTAGCGCTATGCGATCTAGAAGACTCCCAGACTTCCTGCTGGGTTAAATAATGCTCTACAGTAACAATTTCCAAAAATGGAAGCTTTAAACAAGTGCTCCCATTCACATGTTAAATAAACGCTTTAGATCATGTTGCTTTTAAAATTCTTTTCCCTCCTTCAGAACCTCACCCCCCCCCAGTCAATTACATGAACGCCTGATCTACAAGCTGCAGTTCACATGTCTAGTATCCCATTGTCTCTAAATTCAGTGGGGAGGGAAGAGGGTCTTATTTATTAATCCTTATAATCAGTTCAGTGCTTAACGTATGAGGTGCAAGTCCTATGTAAACAAGGTAGGTCTGGAAATTAAAAAAAAACAAAAACTGGAGACTCCTTCAGTATTAAAATTGAAATATTTAAGAAGTAGACATCCTACACACACAAAAAGATCTATGTTGGCCCTCAGAGGCTAGTAACTTCTTGAGCAGGAGCCGCCGCAGTTGTTACTGTAAGTATCGATAGACTTTGAAGCAGTGATTGCCAGAGTCTGCAACTACAACATGACCATCTGAAGTAAGGGCCAAACCTTGCGGACCATAAAGTGGATCGGCGGATGTGTTAATATAGGATAAAAAGGATCCACTCCCATCAAAAACCTGCGAAAAAGGCAAAGAGAGAATGTCAGCCAAAGACAGTGAACTGTGGATACCTAGAAGCTAATATGCATAAATGCAGGCAGCCACACAGATTCACATGAAGTAAATAGAATTGTAGAAGGTGGCAAAGTCACCAGCTACGACCCTATCTGCTGAAAGTCTGCCATGGTCACACCCAGACTAGACTGACATAATTTAATCTGCCTGAGGCTGTATTTAGAGATAGTTCACAGCCACCCAGAGTGGCTGGGGAAACCCAGTCAGATGGGCGGGTATAACAACAACAACAGGAATGCAGCTGCAAGGATGCTTGCTGGGACCTAGGCTCAGAGCATAGACACACCAATACTTTCTAATCATTTTCAGGCTTAATTTAAAGCACTGGCATTGCTCTTTAAAGCTCTAAAAATTTTGGGAACAGGTTACCTGAAGGGCTGTCTGCACCCATAGAAAACTGTCAGACCTGCCTTTAAGAGCCACCAGACTGGTGGGCATCAGAGACAGAGCCTTTTCAACAGTGGCCCAAATAACCTTGGAATTCTCTCTCAGTATGCATGGCCCATCTTTATATAAATTTTAAAAAAACTGTTTTGAACTCCATTCTCTTAAAAGTGCCCTGGGTTGGGTACTAAATTGCTTGAAACAGCTGCTGCTGTTCTTAAGTTTTTCTGTAATTGGGTTTTATAGGTATATTAGAACTTGGTTTATGGAGTAATTATCTTTTGTAAATTGCCTTAGGAGGGTTTTGTCCTGAAACGCAAAACATCCAAGTATTTTAAATTGAATCAATCTATTATCTATGCTCTGCCCTATCTAGTTGTCTGCTACCAGGTTAGAACAGGAGACACTTCTTGCTGTTGTTGTGTTTAGAGGCTTGGGGTTCTTAGAAATAAGAACCTGGACTCAGGTTATGCTTGTTAAGACTTAATAGGTTTATTTTAGAATTCTTTCCTAACATACAGGCTGGCATTCCCCTTACGTTAAATCATTCTTTAATTCAGATCTTGTTGTGAGTCCTTTTATTGGGTACAAGGGGAGATAAAGGGTAATATAGTCATGCATTGGAGTTTCCACTCCTCTCAGAAGGATGTGTTTAGTTCCTAAAATGGGCACACCTTTAATCCTGACATATGCTTCTTACCAGCTGAAGAGCCACAAGTTCCCCTTCCCTTAACTACACAGCTACTCCATTACTCATTGATATTTTCTCTCCTGAGAACAATAAGGTGCAATGCTTATCTCAGAGGAAGACCGAGTTGGAAAGTCAATGGGATTCTTACTTCATTTGTAAATATGCAAGAGACTGTGTTGTAGTTGAACATTTTGGAGATAGGATGCTTGGACCCGAAGATGAGGAAACATCCCCATCCAAACAACATACATCATACTGAGACAACTGACTTAAAAAATCACTTGTTCACCTGTATTCGACTGTTTCCCCAGTCTGCTACAATAATATTTCCATTAGAATCTACAGCTACTCCTGTTGGAGCGTTGAACTGTCCATTCCCTTCTCCATTAGATCCAAATTTCAACATGAATTCACCTTCCTGGTTAAATACCTGAATAAATTAAAAAAAAAAATCAAGACGCAAATTATATAGTACTTGATGATGAAGGTTAAGAGCCTAAAGCCAAAATTAAATAGTTATCATCCTCAGACGTATAAATCAAAACTTAATGGAAGACAAACATTCCCTTTCTGAGGCAACAAGAATAAACCAAGTCATAGACAAAAGTATAGTTAAACCAACCAAAAATGACAGTACTGTCTGCAGAATAAAATTATAGCAATCTGTGCAAGAAGGAACCAGCAAGTTGTTGTTTTGTAAAGCCTAAAATATTAAAGCCTTCCTAAGCTGCTGACACACAATGGCTTAGCTGAACAAACAAGGGTCTTAAGCCTACTGTTGCTGTGCTACTAGGAGCTAAGCCATGGTGGCTTCGTGTTAAGTGTGAACCCGGACTCATTGCTTATCTCTCCCAAACAAAGCATGTGTGGTGAGCCACAAACAAACCCTGGTTACAGTTCATGATTTGCTTGCAAGAAGAAATTATTCTCACACACACAAAAATCATTTTTTGTTCTTCTGTAACAGGATCCTATTGCAAACACATATAGGATTGCACTGCACATCTCTGGATCAGGTCACATGTAGCAGCAAGCCATTGTTTGGCATGACAGGCACAAGCTAGAATAAGCCATAGTGACTCAAGCTCATGCATTCTCCCCTCCTTCTGTGTGGCTCGGAGAGTGGGTTTCCATCAGAACTGACTTTCACTTTCTCCTAATCTAATCATTGCAAGCAAACCAAAGATGGTGATTCAATGAGGGTGGGGAGCACCCAGGTTAATTTAAGAAGCCAGCTTCAAAGGAGCAGAGTTTGTAGCTGGCTTGTTTTGAAACAGGCCAGAATTAGTTATCAAACACTATCTTTGGTTTGCACACAATGGCAACCCAGTTTAGGGAAAGTAAAGCTGCCAAAGTCCTCCTCCCAGCTGCATACGAAGAGGGTGGGCATACAAGCCGAAGTCTCACTCATGCTCACTCCAACTCATGTCCATAGTGCTAAACCATGGTTAGCATTACACACTCATTTGCGCAATGCAGTTCCTTCTTCTTCTCCTTTTCCCAACAGCCCTCTGTATGCTCCCAACATCTGCTCTGGAGGGTTGGGGTGTCCCTCCAGAACAGATTTGTTGGGGAGGTGTTGGGGGGCCTAGAGGGTGGGAAGAGAAACTAGAAGTCCCATCATGCAAACATTTTTTTTTCAATTCCAAAAATTGAAAGTGTGCGATGCCCAGTATCATATTACTGTATCATATACACCAGTATCACATACACATTACATATTAATGTAATGTATGCCCATTTTTAAAAAGAGCCCCAAATCCAGTCTCCTAGTGCATCCTCCCTCCCACGTGGGGGTTTCCTTTCACTGTAAACAGTAACATTCCCACGCATGGAGAGCTGAAGGGGGATGGGGAGGATTTGCTTTCCTAGCAATTTAAAATTAAACTGTTTCTGTTAGCTAATTGTTTATATATATATATATATATTTATTTAAAATAAAAACTCCCAGAACCATAAGTATGCACGAAAGCTTGGCTTCATGACAACTTTATAATACAATCCATGCTTCTCAATAAAATTATATTTGCATGCTTCCATTTCCCCGTATTTTGGGTATGATACATAGTAGACTGTCCTGTGTAAATGAAATGTGGCAACATTTACGTAGGAGTTTGCAGAAGGTCAAGGCCATTTTCTATTTACACTACAAATCAGTGTGTCGAAAATATTCCCTGAGCTGCAAGGCCACAACAATTACAGAGAAAAGTTTGGAAAGTTGTCCTTGCCCATTCCAGTATGAAAGGGAGGTTGTTAGCTACAATCCTGGCCACAGTGTATTTTGAACACCATGTGCTGGGCCATACCTTTGGAACCAGGAGCTTAATCCAGATCGGCTTCGAGTTCCCTTCCATTTTATTAGCAGGATGGCAATGAAATTTCTTCCCCATTTTCAGTCAGATTTCTAACATATTTTATTTCCTTGTTTGCCAGAGCCTGGCCATAGAACTGAAAACCTCTGTTGTCATTAGGAAATCCTGCATTGCTGAACAATTGCTGCTTCTCAGGGTATATGTTTATTAAAATAGGAGCCCCCCCCTGCTGCTAAACTCTGCCAACAATCCACTTAGGGTCTCCCTTGTGGTCTTGCTTCCTTAACTGTAATCCAGAACCACAGGAACAGTTATTTCCTGCCTAATTCCAGAAGCCTATGAAAAACAGTCTCAATTCAAAATTGCCCATTTAGCTCCAACTTAAGAGTTATACTTCTCAGCTGTAGATTGAAAGAAGCCCTATAATAGCCCCTGCCACATTTCTCTTGCCCACGTGGGACTGTGCCTTCCTGCTGCTCTTAGCTGTGTTCTACACATTACTTTTATCACAGAACCCACTTGGAAAGGTCTCTGTACGGCTTCTGTAGGGTGTAGCAATGGTCACTGAGTGCAGGGTGGGCAAAAGGCAGACGGAGATCTATTGGTAGATCTCTGGGTGATTTGCAGTAGATGGACACCAGGGTCCATCAATTCCTCATTCCAGCTTTGTATAATGTAGCTTCAATGGCACATATGGTTTACTTCTATGTAGTAATTTTGCAATTATGTTAAGTGACCCAGAATGCTCTGAATACTTAGCACAAGGGTAACTTTCTCCAGGGGACAACTAGCATATCAAAATGATGGTGTGAAAAGACTCCAAGAGCTCCTTTCTAGAGATCCAACTTCGTACTTCTTGAATCAATTGAAAAGAACATACACAGCTTTATTTTAAAAGAGCAAAGCAAGAGACTTAATCCAAGTATTTCCCCACCTCTAAACGTAAACAATTATTTCTCGTTGGCTGATGCACAACACCTGTGAATTTAACTACATATTGGGAGTAACGGCTTCAATGCATTATCAATGGGATTTTATATTTAATGAAGAAGTAACAGCATCGTACCTTGACCGAGTGGTTGTGGAAATCGGTAATAATAATTTCATTATTGTGGTTGACGGCTGCAAAATGAGGCCCTGCGATAAGGGAAGGAAGGAATTTCAATGCAGGAAGAAAGATAAATCATGACAACAATATTTCAATCCATGCGAAGTAGCAGTTTGCATGCAGGTTCTGATCAAAATGGTTTATGTGGACCAATGCGCTAGCAGCATGCCTGATTGGAGGTGGCTCTGGAAGAGGCAGCACCAGGTGGTGCTTCAAGGTTCCATTTTGAACTCTACATGTTGCTGCATTCACTGTCACACGTTAATGGCTGAAGAAGAACATAATCAGCTACGAACTGAAGAAAATTATGAACTTGGGCAACAGTACAAGTACTCTAGAGAACAATAAATAAAAAGGGTTCTACCTGGCCAGCTTCAAAACCAGTTTGACTGGTTTCCACCCACTAAATGTTTAGTACAACTTCCAAGTTGAACAATAGACTACTTAAAATTTGTTTTTAACATCTGCAAGTGAGCATGCTTCTTGTTCTTGGTCATGCTGGCTCGGACTGATGGAAATTGGGGTCCAGCCAGATGTGGAGATCATCACATTGACTCCCTCTGTCTTAAAACGAGACATGATCAGCAAACCACAGGAGTCAGACCAGAGGAGTTTTGTTGTTCCTGAAAGACTGCTTCCCCTCACCCCAAAGGCCTAAGGAACAACTAGAGTGAAAATTACACCCACATTTCAGGGTTTTCACTGATTTTATATCTACTGCTTTTTGTATTTTTACTGTTGCTATGATTGCTTTTGTTGCTGATGTTTTTGATCTGTTTTATATTTGTTTTATGGTTCTCCTTTGCAGGCTATCTTGAAAATCCAGATTAATAAAGTTGGGGGGGATTACAGTTCTCAAGACTGTTTGGGAAAAGCAGTTTACCCTCCACATAGCTACAATTCCCAGCATCCTTAACAAACTGCAGTTCCCATTATTAGTTAAGCAAAATAATGTACTTTAAATGTATGGTATGCACTCAACCCATGTGTTTACTGAGCCCCTGTAGTACCTTTTTTAAAAAAGAAAAAGCAATTGTATGTCTCCTGTTTAGAAAAGCAAACACAACAGTCTCATGACAAACAAATTTATATACTATTTTTGTACTGTGTATTTTGGGTCTATGGACCACAATAAAGCTGTGTGTGTTTATTACTACATAACTGTTCATGGACTAGAGCAGTGGTGTCCAAACTTTTTTCAAAGAGGGCCAGATGAAGTAACAGGCTGTGAGGGCCAACCAAAGGGCCAACCAAAGTTGAAAATTCAAGGGTTTTTTTGGGGGATTTTACCCCAGGAAATAGACTGCCACAGGGGCCGGATTAAATTAGCCGGTCGGCTGGATTAGGACTTTGGACATGCCTGGACTAGAGGGTTGCCATATTTCAAAATGTTGTTGAGCTTTTCTTGGCAAATCTGTCAAAGTTTTGGTGATGTCCAGGAAATTATGGACATGTGACAGCACTAATGGACTACAGTCTACTTATTGTGTCTTGCTTACTGTGGTGAAGTTAGAGTGATGCTTTTTCAGCATGCTCAAATACAACACACACAATCTGGATAAAAGAAAATGCATATTAGACAGCAACTGATACCTGCAAACTGCTTATCTCCATTGCCTCGGCTTCCAAACCTGGTTACTATTTTTCCATTTGGCTGGAAGATAAACACACAACATGCTTTGTTGTCCACCACAATGATGTGCCCATTGCGATCCACAGAAACACCTTTTGGTCCCATGAGCTTTCCAGATCCAATTTTTGTCTACAGGAGCAAAGAAAGATTAAAGTTGCTTTAAACATACATGCATTTGGACTGCTGTAATGTTCTCTGGGTTTTTAGTGTTGCTAATATTCATACTTAGGAGAAGATTCTGTAGTAAATTAGTGCAAGAGATTGGTAGTAATGACTTTCATTGTGATCTATATCAGGAGTAGGGATCCTCATGCCTCTCTGTTTGGCTCTCTGAAATCCCCTCAGGCCACAACACTCACTATCCCTGCTTTTGCACCCTGTTTTTTTGCCTGGCTAAAACGCAACCGTGAACTCCGTTAATGACTCTTGTGGGCCTGGATGGAAGTGGGGCGGGGGGGTTGAGAGTGTTGTAGAAAGTGGCCTAGTGTACAAAGGTAAAAATGTATATTTGTTACATTATCTACTTTTGTTTCTGGCACTCAGGTTGCCCAGAACGGAATGAGATGCCCACCCTGTATGATTTTAAGTCAATACCAGGGCAAATGTTTAGCGTCTTCCACCCACCCTTCCCTCTATCTCAGAACAAACAAAATAATTTCATCTGCATGAATTTGTCCATCCTTTCCCTCATCACCAACAGTTAGTTCTTCAATCAAGAAATACAGAATCAATTCCCCAAGCTGTCAGAAAAATCGTTGGTTTACCATACTATTAATTTTAAATGGCAGTGAGTTTCCTTGTATTTTTTTATTTGCACTTACCTTAAATTTTCCATCAGAGGAGAATATGCTAACCCACTTATTGTCATAGTCGGCAATAATGATGTCACCACAAGGATGCACAGCCACTCCCGTAGGCCGCTGCAACTGACCAGGGGACCTTCCCCGGATACCAAAACGACTCTTGAACTGGCCATCAGTGGAAAATATCTGTAATTTTCAAAAATAGTTTTTTCCACATAAGATGTATCCATGTATACACATCCATGAGATTAAAGGTGGGGTGCAGATTTAAATAAATGAATGAATTTTTAACTGGAAAGTGGCATTTGAGTCATTACGTGAACTTAACGCAGAATTATGAATCCTTCACTATCAAGATCTTATAATCCGAGAACATGTTTCTTTTCCGCATTTGATCAATACTGTGTCTTTCCAAAACAATCCATTATGGGTAAAGAGAAGAAAAACGAGCATACCTGCACACACTGATTATTGCTGTCCGCTATTAATATTTTCCCATTTGTAGATGCAGCTACTCCCTGAAGATTTGTAAATTCCCCTTTGTTTCTCCCTTTGGTACCTAAAAGGAGATATACATATAAAAACAATTAGGAAAGAAGTCAAGTACATGGCTGCAAAAATTCATTTCAACTCTCTAGGTCCAATCAGCAGTTTCATCATTAGGAGTCTAGTGGTATTGCATGGAAAGGGGCTTCATAATGGTTGGGGTAGAGAAAATAAACCATTATCATGAATATACAATATAAAGATCAACAGGAGAAGGTCCACAGTCTCCAGCACAGGGGTGTCTGGGACTCTGGGGGAGCTGAGTGTGTTGTTCCCTCCTTTCTCCCCCACTATGGGCAGGGACTTCTGTGTGCATGAATGTCCAAGAGGGAATTCCAGCTGCCTTTCAAAATAATAAGGTTTTGGAATACGCCTTTGAGGGATGAGATAAACAAGCAGTCCTGTGACAGAAATATTGTTTTTGAATCATGAACTCCATAAGCAATATAAATGGGATGATTCCCCCACCCATTCTCAGAAGTGCATACAACAATTACTAAATACAATACTTTTGGCACAGAAATTTAGAGGGAGAGCCATCTAGTTAGAAAAGTCCAAATACAGTAGGACGAAGGCTCACTTACAACAAGCTTAACAATATTATATGTATTTTAACAAATCAAATAGAGTGAGATTACGATTTTGGGGGGACGTGAAGAGTGTGTGTATGAACTTAACAGTGCTTTGCTTATGTTTTGTTGCTATTTTTTAATGTTGTTAGTATTGTTTTACAGATTACAAAAGCCATACTGATTTGTTAATTATATGAATTTTGCTGTAATTTTGCTGTTCAGCTTCTTTTTTAGTTGATGTTTTGTGAGTAGCGCTTTGTAGATTGCATCTGTTTTATTGATGATTTGTTAATTATTTTATATGATTCACACTGTATCTGTGATGTGCTATTATGTTTTATTGTGTTGTTGTTATTTATTGTTTGTAGGCCACTATGCATGTCTATGCCACTTTTCATTCAAATGAATATCCATCGATCAACCAACACCTCTGAGCTAGATAATGTCCTAGGGCAGGGATGGGAAACCAAGGACCCTCCAAAGGTTGCTGGACTACAGCTTCCATCATCAGGTCATGCTGGTTGTAGCTGATGGGAACCGGAGTCCAACAACTGCTTGAGCGCCACAGGTTCTTCTCTCCTGCTTAGTGTTGACACTTATCATAAAACAATAGTTTCACGCACTATGTTTGCAGCTGGACATTGCAATCCAAATAATTTAGAAGGCAAAGCACTCCATACCTACTCTGAAGATCAGGTCATCTTCAATGGGGTTCTCTTTCCTTTTGCCAGTGCTGTACATGCTAGCTGGTCTTTTCACAGCTTTCTGCTTCACATGTCCACTGCCAGGAGACTTCACACGCCTCTTAACTCCTTCGGTGGTAGGGGACACATCGGCCGACCTGATTACCTTGAGTTTGAATGGGCTGCCCCTGATATGCTGATCATAGAGTCTCAAGGAAAGGGTAAAGTCCCCTTCTTTCTGGACAGTATACAAAAATTCGTAAGTGCCATTTTTATTGTCAAGTATTTCTCCGTCCGCGACACTCCCATCAGGTGTGCTGAGCTCAGCCGTGAGGTAAGCGTTCCCGGATTTACAGAGCTCACCATCCTTGTCCTTGGTGGTGATGGTGACCGACATAGGCTGTCCTATCACCGTCTGCTTCAGTCCTTCACCCTGTGGCCACTGTTTCAGAAGCGACAGCATTTGTGGTTAAAATAGTACCAAGATTATGAATGGACTTCTTCAGCCCATCCGTTTCCACTATGAAGTCCAGTTGATCATTCTCACGAGGCTGCAGTGGGAAGTCGCGGACAGCCAGCTCGTTCAGCTTATCGCTCATTTGCTTCTTAACAAGCAAGACTTCCGTCTCGGTTCCATGGTTGAGTGCTTGGGCTGTAAAGTTGCTACAACTCTTTATGTTTTCCTGTCCTTCCAATAGGCTATCAAGCTGAGTCTGCAGGACCTGGATAGACAGAATGGTGTGGTTATTTAGATTTGAGTTTTAAACCAAGTAGCCCAATGAATCTACCAATGAATCTACCAAGTAGCCCAATGAATCTATCATGGGAAATGTAGAGGTATGACCTTGAACGGAATAATGTTGCAGAAAATTTGTTGGGCTCTATTAAAACAAAACAAAACACCTGAATAGCATTGATCAAATAAGTGCTAAGTTCTCTTGGATGATTGTTTTTTTTTAAAAAAAAAGCTTCCAGTTTGGAGAGCTTTTGTTCATGGCATTATTTTGACATAAAACTAAACTGTTGTGTTTTTTTTTATATTGCATGAACAAGCCTTGGGCCAAACTGAAGACAGATAAACGTTTTCATATGAGGATATATGGAAAAGACCCAGAACACTGTATTTCCTCCATCCCCAAGATAGGGACACTTAGCTTTTATAAGATTTTTACAACTATTTGACTAATATTATCCAGAAAAGAAAAGTAAAAAATGAAAATACAACCAATAACTATGAAACAACGATGCAACATAAAGTTGTTGTTGCCATAGTTTTTGTTTTTTTAATTAAAAAAACCGTAACAATTAAAAATATAGCTCTGACTCAAGTGTTACATATCACTTCTGCATTTTTGTAAGGGAATTTTGTTGGATAAAATGAATTTGTTCAAGGATGTGCTGGATTAATTGTGTTCCCAATTAACCTTACATGGCAAACATGCCATTTCCTAGCCTCTCTCTCAGCTAAAGATTAGATTTCAGACATTGTTTCTCCCAGTAGCATCAAGTACCCCACAAATGAAATAAAATATGACTGAAAAGAACAAGGGTCTTACTTTATGTTTAAGGCCATAATTCACTTCCAGTTCCATGAGCAACACACTCTTGCGGACATTTAAAGTCTTCTGGAGTTCATCAAAAGTGGAATGAATTTCATCTACGATGCTGGTCTTTTGGTTGGTCAGCTGATGTATAATTTCAGATAGGAAATGAAGTGCTGTATCTATCTCTGGAAGCCTGTTGGAAGAATAAATCACAAGTGCTGTTTGAAATAGAATTGCCATTGTTTTTCCTTGTGACATCATGCAACAAGATTTTTATTCTTGGTGATCAGAATGGGATAAAGATACAAATCAGATTTCAAGTGTTTCTTAGAGGAATTCTGTTACAGAGACTTTATAGCACAAGGAAAAGGATGGAGAAAGAGGCAAGAGAAAGCAAGCTCAGACACCCCTTTTGAAAATTGTAGTTCTTTATATAACACAGTTATATAGTTCTCTCTACAGTGGTACCTCGGTTTTCAAACGTAATCCGTTCTGGAAGACCGTTCGACTTCCAAAACATTCGAAAACCAAAGGCGGTCTGCAAATTTAATTGAGAAACACTCAGTGGAAGCCATTTGGCTTCTGAGGCGCATTCGGAAATAGATGCATTTACTTCTGGGTTTTCGGCAGTCGAAAACCAAAATGTTCAACTTTTGAGACGTTCGAAAACCAAGGTGCCAGTGTATTCTGCCTTGGAAAGCAGACTGGCTGCCTTGGAAAGCAGAGGCCCCTGGCAAGAACCCCTCCCTTGGAGATCTCAGAGCAGAGAGAGCAGGTGATAATGTCTGGGGTGGTAGGGCAGGGCTACTCCTGTGTGTTTAACACTGTGTGTTAAAGCATGCACATTGCAGAGGAGGTTCCATACCTTTTGTTGACAGCATCTAGCTGTGCTTGAAGCGAAGCCTTGTGTTGTTCTACTACATCTTTGAGAGGTACCGTGGGGTGCTCTGCATGCTCGCCTTCTGTACATTCCCGGCACATGGCTGTCTCACAAGACTGGCAGTAAAATTCCATCAGCTGATTACAGAGAGGGAGAGTGGGACTATCAGCAGAATACCAGTTTTTCCAAATAGAGACACACCATTTTGAATACTGAGCATGTCTACTCAGATACAAGCCCTATTGAATTCCCAGGTAAGCAGGGCAAGGATTGCAGCCTTAGCCCCACAGACTTCCATGGGCTTGCTTTTGAACAAATGCACATTGGATTGTTCTGCTAATGCCCTGTGCTGGAAAAAAATTCTGTTACAAATCCTGCAACCAAAAAAAATCAACAGAATGGGATTTATGTAATAAATAGCCATGTGAGCTGACGACCAGGAGTTCAAACCTATTGCACCATGAAAACAAAATGTTTGCTTGTGATTAAAATGTTAAAATGCAGTGGTTATGTTTAATGCCATGGATTTATAGCTGTGGTTTGTATGAACCATTATGTTGAATTTTCCCCTACTTTTAAGAATCACAAATAAATACATACACAATTTAGGGTACTTGAAATTCCAAAAGGTACACTCACGGCTGTCATGTTCTTTCTCATGGCTGTCATTTTCTCACTATTTGGTTTCAGATAAACTGTCATGCCTTGTGCTTTATGAGTATTAAGTTACTTCACAAATGCCTAAGGCATTTGTGATGCACTCTGAATTACAAAACAGAATGGCATCAGGTTTGCATATAATGAGGGCCATATTTTTGGCAGCCAAAAGCTTAACAGAGAGTGATCATTGCTGCTTAGGGCTGGCATTTAAAAGTTTACCAGAGGGAGAGAGCATCAGTTATTTTTCAAACTAAGCAAGAGAACATTAAAAGGAATTATATAAAAAGGACTCGGTGAGGCCAAGAAGCTCTTGCAGATCCACAGAAATAGAAGCTTTTCATCTAACAAAGGATAAAACATTTTCACTTTCTTATTTCTAGTCTGCAACCTACAAAAGAAAAAGGACTGAAGAAGTTTCCACAATCTGTTTAAGGTCGTTTTGAATGGCACTACTGTTACTTAGTGGAGTCTGGATACTTCAGAAAGATAAAGATATTTTGCACGTGCTCCCAAGATGGTTTGGATACCTCTTCAAAAAAGAAGAGAAAGAAAGAAAGAAAGAAAGAAAGAAAGAAAGAAAGAAGGCAAACTCTATTCAGTGAAGAACTGTCTCATTGAAGGAAAGCCTGGAACTTATTGCCTAAAACTAAGATGTCATGGTCCCAACAAGAATATATAGTTTGTAAGGAGTGGACTTTACTGATCATAAATCTTCTGATTTGCAGATGAAAACCAGGTACATATGCTACCAGCCTACCTACAAAAAAGGTGTATTTTTGTCTTGTAATACTGGATCTATTTTTTTAAGTCATATTAATTTATTTAATCAATTCATAAATTTCATACACCATTTAATTGTAAAAAGCGGTTTACAGAAAGATTAAAAAATAAAATCAAGAAAAAATCACAATCCTGCTCTTTGAGTGATACATTAACAGAAGGGGGATTTTAGGAACAAAGGAGGACAATGATCATAATTGGAGGAGGGGAAGAGGAGAGAGCAGGGGAACATGGTGCTCTCCAGATTTCTGGCCTACAGTTCCCATCTTCCTTGACTGTAGGCCATGTTGGCTGAGGCTGATGGAAGCTGGAGGCCAATGACATCAGGAGGGCCATAAGTGTATAGCACTGTGTGTTACATCCAGGAGTCATGCTGCCAAGCACTTAATTGCATTTCAATTTTACGAAAAGCTTCCTAATCATGTGCAGCAATGCTTGCAATGCCGCTCACATTATATTGGCACACTCTGAATGCAAGATAGTGCTTAGTGGTGCAACAACAAGGATGCCAACCCACCAGTTCAAGTGGAATAATGACATAATTCTGCCCATATGCTCCATTTATTCCCAAGGACCCTTTTTAGCATATGTGCCCTATGCAGATTTTTCATCTTTCAGTGCCACTGATTACCATAACCGGAAAACAATTGTGCCAGGTGGTGTAAAGCTGAATCTAATAATATTTCTCTTGAATGGTTTTTGTCCACAAGCAGGCTATCCTGCTATCAGAAAGGAATACTCCCAAACCTTGTACCTAGGCCAGATTAGCTAAGAACTTGCTGGGAAAGGGATTGCTTTCCCTTCTGTTCAAGGGCAGACTTGGGGAATATTTTACAATATGAGCCCAAAATTGGCACCCCCAAATGGATCTTCTCAGTTATGGAGCTTATCAATTTTGCATGCCCTATACTGGTGAACAGCCCACACTACCCTAAATCTGACGTTGTTCTGTTTTGTTTGCTTTGTTGCTCTGGAAATATTTGCTCTGTAGACACCTCCTGCAGTTCATTTGCTCCCTAATTTACCTGTTATGATCTGGATTGCCTAGGTCAGCCTTCCACAGCAAAGTGTTTTCCAGATGCTTCTTGGGGTCCCACCTCCACCCACCCTGATGATTGGCAACGCTGGCCAGGGCTGATGGGGAGTTGTGGTTCAACAACATCTGAAGTGCACCAGCTTGGTAAAGAATGAAAATAGACTGATGATAGGAAAGGACTCACAATAGTGGTGGTAACGGAGAAGGAAATGGGAATTTCAACTCAATGAAAACTTGATTTCATTTATGGATGAAAAGAAGAGCAAAAGTAGCAATACACCTTTTGAATTATAGACAGCTGCTTTCACTTAAAACTAAAATTGATGTACAAAATACAGCTTAAATGAAGTATAGAACATTAACATCTCATCTTGATAGCCAGAAAGTACACTTACTAACCACCATGATCAATCATGACATGCCAATGCAACACCCTACAAACCAAAAAGATAACCAAAACTATCAATAGTGGGCTGACTGAGAGTTAATTTGATGTCACACACATATTCATCCCAATTCACTCTCTCTAGTACAGTATCCAATGAAAGCATTCAATCGATTGAATAAAATCTATCAAGCAAACGATTTATGTTGTCATTGCAGAAATTAATAAACCATTTGCAAGCCCAATAGTCCCCAACTTTCATTTCAGGGGGAGCCATTGAAAACTGCCATTTCCCTGCCAAATAAATTGATGAAGCCTTATTTATAGGCACCTAATCCACTTACATTTCCTTCATGATTGGGGCAGGAGAGTGGCTTCCCTGCAGCAACAGCTGTGACAGTCTCCAAGATGGAAGACTCCTCAATGCTATTGTCTGGAGTTCGCTGCAGGACATCCATCAGGTTGGTGATGAAGAAGTTATTCTGAAGAGCAGAAACCCCTTTCTCTGGCAAGATGGACGTTTGGCGGCACACTGGGCAAGAAAGGGTTAAGCTGTGGGCTGGAATGTAATTCTGTAGGCACCTAATGAGGACGGTAAAAAGATAAGCCAGTATCAAAAGCAAAAAGTAAACTGTGTTGTTTGCGATTTCCTAGTAGGGGAATAGAAGAATAATCATGAACACAGCTTTACTTTTTCACATTTTGCTCATATCAAGAGGGAAGAACAAAACACTCTGACAGCCTTCCCAACATGTTGCCCTCCAGAAGTTATTGGATCTCAACTCCCATCAGCCCCAGCCAGCTTGGCCAATGGATGGGAGTTGTAGTACAGCAACATCTGGACAGCCACAGATGGGGGTGAGTGCTAGAGGGTTCTACCTAAATAAAAAGGCAATGATGTAGTGAAATGACTGGAGACAGTATAAACTGGAGAAAAGGTGGGAATGTATTAGTGCAAGAAGAAGAGACTGCCCCAGGCTGCACTATCAAAACAGCAACTTTCTCCAGAGAGCACATTTTGGTATGACAGAAGCTTTGTTTCTTGCAGTGTACCCACTCATTTTTATTAGGACCCTGTCATCTGTGGCTTATATATATACACCACCTAAATCTGCACAATCTGAGAACAGAGATAGTAGTAGATAAGAGTGCAGAAGACAAGCAATGCATTTTAAACGTTCCTTTAAAAAACATGAATGATTATGACTCCTGTGGGCAGCCTTAGCTTCTGCTCACAGAAATTACTTCCTGACCCTACAGTCTTGCGCTGTGAAGTGTGCTCTTCTCCACAACCATTATAGGTTACAAGAGCATCTTTTCATCTGCTTGTTCTCACTCTCTGCTCCAAAGCTTGGGGGAAAACACTGCAAAGTATCACTTGCCATTTTCATCTTACGTTAATAAAAGCAACAACAGAAATTATGGCTATTCAAATTGTTTTCCAGGCTCCGCGTCACAAGATGATGAACCATTCTGGAGAGTTATTCTTACAGTCACCTTAGCTTTTGTGAGGGAAAAGCCCAGCCTTTACTGACGTCTAAGTGCTGCAGCCCGTGGTGAGGCAATTATGTGCATCTGTCACCACAGGCTGTTTTAAGCCCAGGTTTGGCTTTGGGCCCATCACTCTGAGCATTTGCACTAGCGTGCCAAAAGATGAATCCAGACAAAAATCAGCCCATGGCGGCAAATGCATATGACTACCTTTCAGGCTGAAGCGGATTCTAATGTAATACACCAAGAAAACCTGAGCTCTTTCTAAAATGTATAGAAAGATAAGGGTTATTAGCAGCGCTACATTCGAAACATTAAAAAAGAGCAAAGCAAATGCTTATGGAACATGGTAGACTAAGCAGTTTAACAAAATGAAAACAGACAAACCATGAAAAGCCAAAAGCAGAAATAGTGGAAATGTCGTTTCCACTTTCAGACAGCGCTGCAGCATTTTTTAAAATGATAAGGTTTCTCTGCTTCTTTTCCTGGAAAGGAAACGCAACGTAGGGGAAAATGCCACCGGTTCAAGTCCTGCATATCTTCTAGCTGCAACCTGGTGCCCTCCGTATGTTGTTGGATTACGTTTTCCATCAACCCCAGACAGCAAGGCCATGCGAGCTGGGACTGATAGGAGTTGTAGGCCAAAGTCCTGAATCATCTAATTTCTGGCACTTTATGTTCAGATATTGCATCCTTCAGTTCTGAACCTGTTCCACTTGGAACCAAGCTCTACTCATGCATAAGAAATCTACTTTTAAGCTAAATGGGCTAAGTTTCATTGCCTAATTTCAGATCAAATATCCCAGTAAGAAATTATTGCTACCACCCTTTTATGTGTAATTGTATTGCTGACATGGAAGGCCATATCTTAAAAATAAAAACAGACTGAACATTCACAATAAAGACAGAATTGTTTACCAAAAGAGCACAGATGACTTTTGCAACACAGTAGTATCTGAATCCTGTCTTTCTTCTTATAAATCAAAACAAGCCTAGGGGCATTTTACCTTCCTACTCATTAAGTTTTATATTTCAGGAGAACTTGTTGACTGGATTGAGGGGTTCATTGAATTAATAGTGTAACTCTTGACATCTGGGAACAGATCAGTGTGGCAATCCAGACAGACAAGCCAGCTGTAATGCACTTTTGGTTGGGGGAAACAGAAATCATCCTCTTACCTCTCACAGAAAGTGTGCAGACAGGGGAGTACTTTGGGATTCTTGTAACGGTCCAGGCATATGCTGCAGATCAGAAATTGTTTGTCAATCTGACGCACCACAGGACTTGGGATGTTGGCGCCTTCACTGGCCATCCTAGACCACTGACATGTGGGTCCTGTTCTCTTTTGCCCTGCACGCTGCTGAAAGGTTCAAGCAAACAACAGCATTTTAGAAGCCGTGGGGAATTGACTTCCTGTTAACAATGGATCCCAGTGGGTTTCATCCCGATTCAAGATTTATAAGAAGGCAGTGCGTAGTGCTTGGAAATGCTACACTAGAAATACTTGCTTTAAAAGCATCTGGGAAGATTGCCAAGGTAAAAAACTACTACAATGCATTAGCTTCTAAAATTCATTCTTTATATTTATATCCTGTTCCCACTATCTTCCCATCCAAGAACTGACGAGGCTAAAACCTGGCCATACTTTTGTGATATGGAGTATTAGAAAAAGGGTGCTTTCAGATTGGATGGGTGTACATTTCTAATGCTATAGAATGAGCATAGCTCACTGGTGGAGCACATGAGTTGCACAGAGTAGGTTGGATTTCTGCCATCACCACTTGAAAGAATCTGGTAACATGTGGTGGAAAATACACCTCTCTGTTTTTGACCTTCCCATATTTCTAAGACACTCCCACCAATATAATATTGCATACATCATCAGCTACAGCTGTACACCAGTGGTTGGCTGTGCTGTTAGACCTCATTGCATGCAGTTAATAGGAAGAACATAGTAGTCAGACCATCTATATCAGTGAAGTCTAAATCTGAAGTAAGAAACCATTTTCATGCTGAAAATCACATTACTGCCACTGTAGAATGTATTTGAGGGCCACATTCCATTAGCAGGAAGGTAAGACTCAGTCACACAGAGTTAAAACACAGATCTCTTTCTCACACAGCTTTTGCCCATGGAAACAAAGGCATATATTTGACTAAGTAACTCCACTCATATGCTATCTTTCATTTCCCCCATAAACACTTCTTTTAGACAAAGCTAGTTAAAAATAAAGACAAAAGGTTTCCAACAGCCTTACTGCACAAAAGCCAAACAAGACTCAGTAATACCAGCAGAAGAAGGCAAACATCATCTTTGCACATATGAACTGTAAGTTGTTCCTTGGATTTATGGAAAGCCTCAAACTTCAAAATGCAATTGCATCTCAAAAATTGCATACCTGCAAATGCAAAGCATAAACTGCAAACCACATAAATATTTCATTTCCATTCTACAGCAAGTGCAATTAAACAAAATAGGCATAATACATACAGAACCTAACAAGACACATAATGCTTTTCAAGAAAGACAACATAAATTCCCTATACCAGCTAGTGGTTAGCATGTTGAACTAGGAACGGAGAGAGAGACGGGTTCAAACCTCTACTCAGCCATCAAACTGACTGGACAGCCGTTACCTCTTAGCCCTAGGGGTGGCTAACCTCTTGATATTGTTGGACTCTCAAGTCCCATCAGACCCAGCCAGCATGGCCAATAATCAGGGATGATGGGAGTTGTAGTTCAAGAGCAGCTGGAGGGTCACAGGTTAGCAAGGGGAAACCACATATGCCACTCTGAGCTATTGGAAGAACAAGATAGAAATGGAATAAATATTTTTTTGCCTGTGCACAGAAACCAACACCTTTTACTATTTCCTTCTTCTTAAGTCACATTCAGGTTTTGTTTTAGCTGCAGTTGAAAAACTTGAGTAGGGAAATGAATGGATGCACATGCACCAGCCACACCCCCAAAGTCCCCATTGAGTCAGCTTTTGACCTTTCCACAATCAGCTTCACCATACAGCGTAGGTTTTCATGCACATTCAACTGAATTACTTAGGAGCCTCCCTCCAGGGAACCCTGAGAACATAGAGCTACCGATTAGAAGGATGCTTTTAAGCACACGCACTCAAACATGCCCAGAATCCTCTTTCAGACTTGAATGGATTTGACTGGGTGGAGACGTTCAAACTGTTCAAGTCTAGTGACTAGGGTGTTTGTTAATGTCTTGTTCTTATTACACAAAGAGGATATTATATTAGGCCTCCTACTATGCTGCTGTTGGGGTCTGCGAATGTTCTGATACCCAAGGCCCAGTCCAGATAAGATTTATACATACTTAGTCATGTATGTAAAAGAAGGAAGATAAAAGACAAAAGAGTTACAAGTGTTGCTTTGTTCTCTGGGCAAGGAACTCTAAAAGGTTCCCACATCCCCACTTAAATTTCTACCGGATAGCCCCCTCCTAAGCATGTTTAACAAATAATAATAAGTTCAGCCTGGTTAATGGGGTTTACTCCCAAGTAAATAGGTGTAAGAATACAGAAAGCGAGTTGCTAATAGCTACACAATGGCTGCATCCTCCAAACAGGGTGTGTGAGAGAAGCCATGAGCTCAAACACTCCTTCCTGCCCTGACACATGTGGCTTAATAGGAAACTTCCAGGTCTAATCAAACCATAATTGTGCATCTTATCAACGCTACAAAAATATGGTTTGAGCAAGCTCTGGTTTGGAGGATCATCTGAATGCAGTGAGTGAGACCATGGATTGCACAAACTAGAACCCATGTCTCCTTGTCCCAAGAAGTCTTTCTACTGTCTTGCTGAAACTCATCTTAATGAACTTAATATAATAAAGCAGGTAAGTTTTATGTTCAGAACACAAGTTATTTTTCCGGATGTTGCACAGATTCACCTGAAAAGCACATATTGTATATAATGTAGTATGTTGCAGTGGTGGAATAGATTTGGTTTGAAAGGGCTCTGTAACAAGGAAGGTTTATAAACTGTGCTAAAAATTTAGTTCAAAGCTATAAAAAGACAAGCTGTTATCGTTAAGTTGGGAAGCAAGTTCTTTCATCCATTTTTAAGACAGGCAGAAGGGGTGACACGTGCACTCTCTGGATGAACAAACCTACAAAAATTCTCACCACTGACTAAATAAATGCCTCCAGAGAAAACAAAAAACCAAATCCAGAGTTCAAGCTTTAAATACCTAGCAGCTTTTGATGAGAGATCAATCCTTGCATCAAGCAGCCTCTCAGAAAAATGACATCATCATCATCATTCCTTCTTGCAGGTTTCTAATTATAAAAGATGTACAAAGCAGTGCCCAATTTCTAATCAAAATGGTCTTTAAGAAACACAGCATATGCGTGTGCACATATTGCAAGAACACTAATAGTAAGTGTATATCAAGAGAGAAAGAAGGGAAGAAAGAAATCAGTAGTGTGTGCAGCCACACCCATCTGAAACAAAACTCCTAATAAAATAAACCATTTTGAGCTTTAAAAAGAAATATTTTATTGAGTTTTAATAAACATGCTTATCTCAGAATTATGGCTTTACACAATGAAAGTATAAAGAAGATTGAGGGCAGCCTGTTCAATAGGTATAGGATTTTCAAATAAAGGCAGTGCTCCACCCAACCAGAGCTGTGATTAGACTCTGAAAGATCAGACTGAATCGCCTGCGACTTATCAATGGTGAGCACAACCCAGAGGGTCTAAGCCATGCATTATGAATGAATAGGTTTCCAGTAGCAACGTTTGCAATGGAACTCGCAAGCTCCAGAACTGCAGGCAAGGGTGGGACTCCTGCTATATAAATGCTGTTTCAAAGACGGGATAAGCTATAGGTAGAATTACTCAAGCCCAGCACGGCAAACCCAAACCAGAGAGACAAGGCTATAAAAACAGTCTGTTATATTCAATGATTATCATCATCATCATCATGAAGTAAGACTATCTTGTACATATGCACACGCCCCTCCACATTTTTGCTTTCTCACATTGTTTTTTAAATCATCTTGCTCACATATGGTTTAAATAACTTTTCCAGCCTTAAAGCATGCATCATCATCATCATCATTATGTAAAGCAAGGAGCTGCAATGGGGGATGGGAGCAAAAAGGCATAACGTTACTAGCCACCAGGCACAATACTGAACAAACAAATGCTCGAGACGTACCCATCTTCACGAAAAGGAGCTTAAATCAATGCACTGCCAAGTGAAAAAAGGGAAAAGCCTTTCCAGGATGGAGTTGTGTCCTGCAGTCGTCCAAATGAGCCAACCATAATTACAGTGATGTATCACATCTGAAAGCCTCACGTGTGGAACTCTTAGAGAATTCCTGTTAGCCGTTACTAGAGACGCAGCAGCGTTATTTTCTTGCTTAAGCTAACAATGCTCCACCACTCCATGGAGAGAATCCTGGAAGTAATAAAAGGAGGCCCAGCCAAGCAGTCATTAATTTCCCTCCCCCCACTCTCCGGGTCACTGACAAAGTGGGAGACCCCCCCACCACACACCCCCGAAAGGATTCCAGCCAATCAATCTTTATTTAGTACATCTTTCTCACTCAACCCGTAGCTGAAAGACTGCAGCAAACCGTGCAAGGGATTGTGGGATAGGGATGCAGCATAGAGCTGCAATGAGATTCACCGGGTGGATTTTTTTCTTCTTCCTCTTTTCTAGTCAGCAATCAGCTGTTTCAGGCTCAGATGCTGGACATGGTCTATATGGAATGCTATGACAGGATTAGCAGGCAGGGAAAGCTACCATTCTGGTTCGGCAGCAAAAAACACACGTAAGTATTTTTCTCTCAACACTGAAGTATAGATCCAGTACTGATGCTCTGATTCAACACACATTTATTAGGAAGGAAGTGTTACTGGTTTTTAATGGGATGTAATCAATTAAAATGAGAGAGGGGGAAATCTCTAATCGGCCTCTCCCTGCTGGTCATATTTTTATGTCATGACCCCCATGTTTAATGTGATAATCCTTTTGTAACTGTTTAATGTGTAATGCGCAGAATGAGATGAAGTCACCAATCTGCCCCAAAGTGTACTAAGTTTCTAAGTACCAGAACCATCCCCTGAAATCACCTATAATTCTCAACTCAGAGAAAGCAAATAAGATTTGAGTCTATTCAACTTCATCATAAAGTTCTTCTTGTTGTTGTTATATTATATTATTATTATTATTATTATTATTATTATGAAGTTATGCACAGGTTGCCTCATCTCAGGACCCCAAATTTAAGCAGCCTACTTTGAACACAAAGTATTTGCCAATTATAAAAAACAACAACATTTTTTTAAAGTTCCTTTTGGCAAGTACTCAACCAAATTGAGCAAGGAAAACAGAAACAGTGAGTTGTATCCAAGGCTATATGAAATTTCAAGAATGAAGAGGGACTTTCATTTCCTCCCCTGCTTTTGTGCATTTCAGATTTGCTTCCCCAATTTCTAGCCTGTGGGTCTAATGAGGCATGGCATAGGTCCCATGAGGCAGTTTTCCTGAAACCTGTGGCACTAGGTGAGAGGGTGGTTAGGAGATGGCTACAAAGTTGGGAGATTAAAATGAGCTCCCAGTTGTTCTCTTGTAAGCGACACTCACTGACAGCAAATTCCAATGGGAACTCCCTAACACATGGATAGGCAAACTAAGGATCCGGCCCAATCGCCTTCTAAATCGGCCTGTGGACAGTCCAGGAATCAGCGTGTTTTTTACATGAGTAGAATGTGTGCTTTTATTTAAAATGCATCTCTGGGTTATTTGTGGGGCATAGGAATTTGTTCTTTTTTTCTTTCTTTTTTTCAAAATACAGTCCGGCCTCCCACAAATAACCCACAAATAACACATTCTTTCATTTATTTAGCAGGCACAATTATAATTATTGACATTATACAGTGGACGCTTGGGTTGCGAACGTGATCTGTGCAGGAGGCACATTCACAACCCGCAGCATTCACAACCCGCAGTGCCACGTCTGCGCACACGCGGGTCGCAATTCGGCACTTCTGCGCATGCACAAAGCACAATTTAGTAAGTAACCCATTCCAGTACTCCCGGGTTCGATGCAGTGTGCAACCTGAAAACACGCAACCTGAAGCGTCTGTAAGCCGAGGTATGTCTGTATTAGTGACTATGTTCTAGCTCCAAAGAAAAAAGAAATGAAACCACACACCCCACAACCACCAATGCATATACACTGATTGTTTAGGCATGCTTTTCTCAAGCTTAGGGATTTGCCTTCCTGCAGGAGGACTCTGTTGGAATACTGAACGTGCTTTGCATCCCACACAACTAGTAGGGATTCCAGAAGCATATGGCTAGTGGGAGCTAATCCCATTTAGAGTTACACCATCAACTTGGGTGATGAGCTGGGTGCACAGATCAGGAAAGAAAGTTGCTATGTAAAGATTGAACAGACCATTCACAATAAGTGTTTCTATTCCTAAAGCTGGGGGAGAGGAAGAGGGATATTAAAAAATCTCCCTCCTGCCCTATTCCTTCCAGCAATATTCAGCAATCTTCCTATCTTTGTGAATTATTTGTGGACATACCAAACAGTGAAGCATCCCGTGAGGCAGAAAATCATTGCATAAAGTTTGAAACACCAAATTTTGGCATGGTAGCAAGACTCGTGTGGCCTTCTGAAAATGCTTGTTTTGTAAAGCATTTTGAGTTGCCTAATGACATATGCTATGACCCAAAATACCCAGGATGCTAGGTAATGGAGTCACTTGATAGTACTGAGAGTTCAAAGAACAGTTCTTTGAGTAGCAAGTAGAATATAAGGGTTGGGAAAATTCTTCTTCTTTGGCGATCACTCGTAGCCAAGTAAGATTGTCTTCCATAAACACGGTTTTAACAATGAGTCCGTAAGTGACTGTGGAGGCCAATTCTGGATCCACACGTCCTTCCACAGTGGGGACATTGGTTTCTGGGTGGGAGTTGATCACGGTGTGGATTTGACAAGCACGTTTCTCCCTTGCGTCCTGAGTTTGAGTGTCTTCAAAGCCCATGACACCTTTGGTAAAGGCTGCTCTCCAACTGGAGCACTCGCAGGCAATCTTAATTTGGACCCATGTCAAAGACCAAATAATTTTCAGTACGTGTTACATTAGTGCTCTGGAACTTTCGATAACAGCAAGGCACAATGAACTAGTTAAGGCAACCCAGATTTCAACGTTACGGCAAAAGGCCAACAGCAGTCATTAAAAATAGGACTCTTCCACTCCACTCCACATGAATGAGAGCCAACCCACCTCCCAGATGAAAACTGATACCATTAGCAAACAAGCAGCCCGAAGCTACACTACGTGTCACAATTCTAAGGTTAGGCACACACTTTCTGTTTTTGCTTACTGGGTCTGTAAACTACTTCAGAGGCTAGGTCAGCAAACAAGGTAAAAGCAACAACTGTTTAGTTTCTCAATAAAGCAAAATCTAACTAGTTCTCTCTATACATATCTTATGTATGGATATAAAATAACCAGAATAGGTAGTTATGGCAATTATATAGGCTCCAATTCAGAGTCCAAAGTGAGATGAAGAAGAAGAAATAAACCAGGAGGTAATGATATATATTTTATGCTCTGTCATTGTGATACATGATAGTATAACACTGACAAACAATGGCATTCATTCGTGGAACAGGAGACTATTTTAATAGCAAAAAGGACGCATGGGATAATTTGTCTACGACTGGTATATTGCTCACAAACCATCACCACTATGAAGCTGACAGGCAGGATGATGCAGCAGGAAATTCAAAGTGAATTCCATGCTGCAGGTTGGAATTAAAAGGTGACTCCTGAAAAGGCAGATGATTACTTGACATTCAGGTAGCTTCCAACTCTACAATTCTCCAATTTGTTTTCCTGTCATGGAAAACCAGGGCAGACTATGAGCCTTTTGTCATCTGATGCCTCCCATGACATTAGAGCATCAAAGAAAGCATCATGCTTGCTTGTTTATAAACTCACCCAAGTAATAAAACCAGCAGCTGGGACAGGAAGTTCTAGATACATCCTGCATATTTTGCATGTCCTGAGATTAGCCCTCGTCTTAATTTAGCTATGCTTAAAGACAACACACTGCAATAGATACACAAAAATACAGTGCTCACTCACCCAGTGTAACAATTCCTAACGCAATGCCAAGTACTATTCAGAAGGCTTTGGCACTTTTCTTCGCTTTAGATGGCTTAGCATTAGAGTCTGAGGATTCCAGGCTTAAATTAAGACATTTGCTTTTTATTTGCCTTCACATCCACTGGGTTATTCATCATAACCACCTAGGACTCTGAATCTAACAGGTTTGGTTTACGTACTTATTCCAGAAACCTCTGTGTGATTGGGACTAGCAGTGTGAATGCTGGGGGTTCCTCTTCCTTTCACATGGAGGTGCACTCCAGCCTCCTCTGTGCCCAAGTGTGTGCAAATGTCAAAGACAGGATACAATTTCTGTACTACTATTAAGTTCTTGAAAGACAAAATAGGCTTAATCTCTGTATTTATGCCACCATTATTGCTTGATTTTTCATAAAGTTTGTTGTTGCAAAAATGTAAACCTGGCCAATAATTTTGTGAATGCTGTATTGTTCTTGTATCAGTTATTATGCCAGCTCTTCCAATCACATTTTAAAGTATTTCACTAGTAAGTGAAATGGAGATGAATTGGGCTAAAAGGGAGATAATGTGGGGAAATCTCAGTTTTAATAGGGCAACACTAACCTAGTACTGTGGTGGCGCTGTGGGTTAAACCACAGAGCCTAGAACTTGCTGATCAGAAGGTTGGCAGTTCGAATCCCCGTGAAGGGGTGAGCGCCCGTTGTTCAGTCCCTGCTCCTGCCAACCTAGCAGTTCGAAAGCACGTCAAAGTGCAAGTAGATAAATAGGTACTGCTCCGGCGGGAAGGTAAATGGTGTTTCCGTGCGCTGCTCTGGTTCGCCAGAAGCCGCTTAGTCATGCTGGCCCCATGACCCGGAAGCTGTCTGAGGACAAACGCCGGCTCCCTTGGCCAATAAAGCGAGTTGAGCGCCGCAACCCCAGAGTCGGTCACGACTGGACCTAATGGTCAGGGGTCCCTTTACCTTTAACCTAGTACTGTATACTGTACTGAAAAGGACTAGTAAGTTTAATGCAACTTGCAGCAATTGGGAATAGTGTGACTCACTTCTGAGCAAGCATGCAAAGTATAGCACAGTCAGGCCCAGTTCACACACATTACTTGGTGTGGAGATGGCTGCAATGCCACTATTCCCAATCAGTTGCCAAAAGGGATCTTACACACAAGGTGGCTGAACAGGATTACAATTTTTGTCCTTACCAATGCAAAGTAATCTCTACTCCCCACTTGCCTTTCCCAGCCAGGCAAGGAGAGGAGTATACCAGCATAGATGCAATGCCATAGCTACCAGGGGGATGGGGAATAGTGGCGTTCTTTGCCCTGAGTGAATCCTCCAGAGGGGCATCATTGAGGCTCCC